CCGGGGTGGGCGAAAAAATGAAAATTTTTTCAAGGTCCGGGGAGGGCGAAAAATTTTCAAATTTTTTCAAGGTCCGGGCTGGGCGAAAAAATGAAAAAATTTTCAAGGTCCGGGGTGGCCGAAAAAATGAAAATTTTTTCAAGGTCCGGGGTGGGTGAAAAAATGAAAATTTTTTCAAGGTCCGGGGAGGGCGAAAAATTTTCAAATTTTTTCAAGGTCCGGGGTGGGCGAAAAATGAAATGCATCTATCACTATTTTCTCTATGAACTTCTTTACCTGTAAATAAAGTTACTGGCTTGAAGTCTCTCCCACTTTGTCACATTTCCATCGCTGCCACCACTGAATATTAGCAAAGGCACCTTAGGAGCTGAAAGACAAGAAGAGAAATTTCACAAGCTAAACATATTGCGTATCAGAATGTAATAGTTTCCTGTCAATGAACGCGAACAATTGATCTAAACCAAGGACTTGATATAGAGCATTATTTTGTATTCAGCTAGCCGGAATGCATTATTATTTATATAATGAAAAGAAGATTTCTTAATCTGTCAAAGTCTTTACAAATCGATTATTTTAAAAGTTGGCTCGATACAATTTTCAAAAAATCAGGTGTTCAGCACTTTGACATCTTCAAACTACGCATTTTTAGGATTTACTCAGCAGACATTGTTTTTTTTTATATTTTCATATCTCTACTTTCAAATTATATTAGTTTTAGTAGCAAATAGTTTGTTGCTATGACGACATACGTGTACGAAATTCACTCCAGAATGGCCTATCCCCTCGTATAGTTGGAAAAGAAGCATGGTGACCCCCAATTTGTGTTCGTGCATTATTTTACTTGGACGAAAAGCTAACAATTAGGAAAATAAAAAAAATCTGCAATGTCATTTTTTGGAAAATGGGAAAATGTCATATTCCTCGGTAAAATTTTTGGCATTACAGAATTTTTTTATTTTTTGTAGAATGAAAGTCTTTAGCAGTGCAATACAGCGTGCAAAATTCGAACATAGGTCACCAGACAAAATAAAGAGATATAGCGCATTGTTTTTCTAAAATAAAAAATTCTAATGACGTCAGCAATTGACACAAAACGCTAGAACACGCGCAATGGCGTGAGATGGCGCGAGAAACTGCTCACGTCAGGTTATTTTGGAAGTTCTTTCATTTTTTTAATCAGTTTCCGCAACCTGCGCGCAAAAATGGTCACCTGGTTTTGAGTTCGCGATTCTTGAGCAGGGTTTTTGTGATAACTATATCGAGCCAGCTTAAGGTGGCTCCCTACTGTTTTAGGTCTGTATCGTGGAAATTTTGTCCACGCACGAGATTATTAGTGCTACACGCAACACGCGTGGTCGACGTTGCACGCGTGGCGGTTTTTTTAAAATTGCGTCGCGATATACGCGCGCGGGCCTTCGTGAGATTGTCGGCTGGTCTCGCGAGGAAATTGAAATCCTGATTTTTGTGACGTCACATGGATAAAAATAAATGTATTTTTCTCGTGTTTCCTTCGGTAAAATTTTTTAAAACTTCACACTTTCCTGTAATCTTGAAGTGCGTAAAATGTGCAAGTTTTAAGAAAATCGTACGAGCCGAATTTGTTTTTTATTCAAAAAACAGGCCTTTTTGAGGATTAAAAAAAATTCTCGTACGATTTTTTTAAAAGCTATCATTTGAAGGAATCATAGATAAGATTACTGTGTCCAAAAAATTAAAAAATTTTCCCGAAGAAATTTTCAAAAAATGATCAAAGAATCTGCAAATTGGTCGTTTTTGAAATCGCTTTGTTACCATGGCAACGGGGATTTTTAAGGACATTTTTTATTTTTCGTAATTCGCGATATTGTTGCAGTTATGTGGCCGAGTTTCGTGATCACACTTTGTAAGATGATAATATTATGGGTTTTTTTAATACAATTGGGTGCTGTACAATCAAAACTGTTGAGAGCCACCTTAATTAAGCGTCTAAATGAGTTTTAGTATCAAGCAAATGTCTCTGCATTTGCATTTGCAACTAGAAAAGTATAGTTTCCCACACCCCTTAATTCTAATGAGTTTTTGAACACTTTAGACACTAGAATGAGACCACCAGATGGTATATGACCTCACTAGTTATTCAACGGCAAATGTACGACGAAAGAGAAGCCACTGATCACCAATTCTATTCAGTCCTAGTATTCAGATCTGTGTTGCGAACTGTTATTTAGAACACAGAAACGTTATACCGGAAATATCAATTGATTGCAATACTGATAATATAATTGAACCGAGACTAAGGGACCGTTCATTATTTATGGAGGGGGTGGGATATGGGTGAGAAACTGGGGGATCTGAGATTTTTCCAGATGAAAAAAGGGGCACTGCAATTCTGGTAAACCAAATTATGGGGGGACCTGAAATTGAAAGATGCATCTATAAATGTCAAAAACTCGTTAATAATTGATGAGGGAAAAAACGAAAAGAAAATCAGATTTACATAAACTTCATCTTTGAATTTCTCCTGTTATAGACAATTCTGATTTTCAAAATTACTAGATCAAATAGATCGTTTCTGAAGCTATTCAAAACACTCACAGCACATGTTTCATCAGATCTATTAAAACACTTGGGTATTGCCTCGTGTTATAAATCTGATAAAAGATTGCTCTTGGTGTTTTAAATATTAATACATAATAACTAGCTTTCTTTTCTGCTCTCTGTCCATGCTGTACAAAGTTTATAGTTGCACACAAAAGGAAATATGTGCATTTAATATAGTGTGAATTGTACATTGTAGCACCGTATATATAAATATATGCATATATAAATTGCAATAGCTGCAGAAGTACATGTGTTACTCATTCACTGTGCACAACATAGTACATTAATTGTATGTCTTTTGTGAAGTGCATGATATATACGGTAGTTATAGGGGGTACCTTAAAATTTATTGTAAAGGAAAGGGGGGAACCAAAATAGTTATTATACCAATATAGTTATTATGCTTGTATAGGGCATGGACGCAAATCTTGTAACGTAATAACACCACTCTGATCTGCCATGGAAAAAATCCCATGCATGTCTATATTTAAGTCACCAACCACCAACCTACAACGAATATTTCGCCGTTTTAACTTACTGTATGCAAGCGATTCTACCGGACAATTGTGTCTCAAAGTAGTAAGGCATCCTGAAGGGTTGAATTTCCAAAGTATGAGTTGTCTTCGAATATTAGTACCTATACAAATTTAAAATAAACTACTTGAAAACTTACATATGATATACAATCCTGACATGTCCGACCGTATAAGATAATTACCAACGAGTACAAACCTATAACTTGTCCTAGCTCTGGAATAAAAGTCAGCAATTCCAGTGGTATATTTTCATTTGGCGTGTGAAACGTTCCAATAAAATCTGAAACCTAACAAAACGGCATTACTTAGTCAACTAGTTCAATTGCATGTCTCATTTACTGACATATACTACGAGAACATGAAATCATATATATATATATATATACAATGTGAAAGAAATGGAAACTGACTGTCATTATAAAAGAAAAACAGGACTATAGCAAAATATAGCGCCAATTGAAAGTGATGTATTTGTTATAAAATGATGTATTCTTTTAACCGACGATGCGCTTTCAAAACAAAGAAATTCTCAAGACCATGATCTTACACGGCTCGAGACAATTTCCCTTGCAACTTAACGGCAACGCACGTTCAGACACAGAGCCATGTTTGTCGTATTTAAAGGATATACTTCATGTAAATTTAAAGGGTATACAATGACAGTAAAAATTAAGTTCACTTCGTATCATTTGTATATAAGAACTTTTAAAATGATATATATGATCAATTTTGCCTGGTCTTAGAGATATTTTGACCAGAAACAGCATGTAGCCCTCTGTCGTGTTTCCATATTTTGGTGACGTCACAACAGAGGTAACCTATTAAAATTACTATGGGGTTGACTGCATTTCAACGACAGGAAGTTTGTTGATATGTTCTGGGCCAATTGGAACTGGAAAAAGTCTGAAAAATTCGAATTTCAGGCTCATAATGGAATGTGGTAGACAGAAAAAATATTCCCCATTACCCCATTTGTATATTGAACGTCATGCATGTTGTACAACAAACCAAGATGGCTGCCTGCACGCTTTTTTGGTCGAAATTATTTCGAAAACTAAATGATGTAAAGGATCTTTATAAATTATATACATGCAGTAATGTTTAATAAACGAGCAGGAGTGTTTTATTAGGATTAAAGCCACGAGCACGCAGCGCGAGTGGCTTTAGACCTAATAAAACACGACCTGCGAGTTTATTAAACGGCTTCAAACACGACCAGAAATTCAATAGAAATACTGCTTTATTAGTATTCTTTATATAAAGAATACTAATGAGGACACGGCTACAATAGATACTGCCTTATTAGTATTCTTTATATAAAGAATACTAATTGGGAGTGTTTTATCAGGTTTAAAGCCACTGCACGTGACACATTATGGTTGACATGATTTGCCAATAAGCTTATGAATTATTAATGAGTGTTTGAAGTACTGTTTAATAAACGAGCAGGAGTGTTTTATTAGGTTTAAAGACACGAGCGCGCAGCGCGAGTGGCTTTAGACCTAATAAAACACGACCTGCGAGTTTATTAAACGGCTTCAAACACGACTAAAATTCAATAGATATACCGCCTTATTAGTATTCTTTATATAAAAAATACTAATGAGGACACAACAACAATAGATACTGCCTTATTAGTATTCTTTATATAAAGAATACTAATTAGGAGTGTTTTATCAGGTTTAAAGCCACTGCACGTGACATATTATGGTTGACATGATTTGCCAATAAGCTTATGAATTATTAATGAGTGTTTGAAGTACCATATAAAAGTTCTTTTCCAATAAGTGAAAATGAATATTTGTTTTCATTTTCGTAAAGTTGAATTAAAATAAAAAGTATATGGGAAGTGTATAGTTTACTGAATGTTTAGTGAGGTAACCGTTTACTCCTTTTTTGTCGAGAAAATGAGTGCTGATGGATTCATGGTTATAGCGATGGATTGAATATCTATACAAAGTTATCAAGTGTTTTACGTACGTTTTCGCCAGATTTTGGATCGTAAATGGGTGCTTCAGACACGCCTGCGGATATCCATATTGTCTTTGCTGGGCGAACATAAACAAGTCCTGTTATTACTGAACTACATCAAAGGAAAACAAAATTTCAATACTTCAAATAATTGTAAAGTACTGTATATTAAGAACGTTTTAAAGTTTTTTTTTATCAGAAAGTAAATTTATTGCTAATTTGCGCTGGCTAACTTCTAATAAGTTCATAACTTCGTAATTTAACTAATACCCAAACACACGTTTTACAATTAATCCATATAAACGTACATCAGATACATATGGTTAGTTCCAACCAGTGAACTGTAATAACACTGGAACGCTAACTGCAGATAAACATGCCCATACTTGCCTGAAGCCAAGATGGCGCTTCTCGCGAGCTCAGCGAGCAATAAATTGACTTTCGAAAGGACTGGGGAGAGTTTCGAGGAGCGGGGAAATTCAGTCAAAAGTTTGTTTTTGAGCGAAAATCAGCAAGAAAAAGCACTTTTTTATCAACAGGCTTCAACTTAAAAGATTCAAACCTAGTTTCCTGGATAGTTCTAAGTATTTTACATCCACTAACAGCAAAAACGTCCTGGGTAACAGCTTGATATTCAAAATATTACACAAGTTTGAACGTGCCGAAAAAAACTTCGCACTTTGGCTCCTGAAAAAAGAACTTTATAACTGCTGTAGGTTCTGGAAACATGTTTTGTATTAAATTTCAGGTATTGTTGAAAGTTTTTAGCTTTTTTCCTTGTTAAAATACAGCTATTTAGTGGTCGAAAACACACATCTTTTCGGTGTCGTATTTTCCACTCCATACGTACATGGCGGCCGTCATGAGTGGCTTCAAAGATGGCCGCCAAGTTATCGTTCCAGTTCCCTTAGAGTTCACTGGTTCCAACTCACCTAAATCCATCAAATTTATGCATAATTTGTCCATCTGGAGTCCATATCTTGACAGTTTTGTCAAACGAACCAGTAAACAACCTAAACATTTGATTTAACCGAAGAAACTAATCACTAATGACATGTCGATAGTTACTAAATTGACCAGCTCAATTTCGAACATGCATGCATGGGTTATCTGATTTTGATATGAAGGGGAAAATACAAGAAGGCAAAGACTGCATGGTGGAGGATGCATGTAATCCCTCGAACTTTTGAGAGGACAATCAATTTACATACTTAGGAAGCTGATATCAGAAACGGTCTATTCTATTCACTGATCTGAAAACGGATAAAGGATTAAGGCATCTTTTTGAATATAATATGCCAATTTTCAAGCAAACATCGTTTGCAATGACAATGTGACTTAAAAGATATAGCTTGCTCCACTTTTTCTGATGAGTTTCAGAACGTTTTGAACTACTTAGATTCCCAACGCTGGCAAAGATTTTTTCAGTTTTTCCCGGTGTGAACAAACTCGGACTAACATCGGCAACAAATTAAACACCTGAGTTCAACACCACAACCACACGACGGGTGAACCTCCACACTGATCTCAAAAATACGGCTGTTTGCCAGGAGTGAGATAAGCAAGATTTCAAATTCAAAAATATGATATATATTTGGGAACTCGTTTCATACAATGAGCTTTGAAGAAATTTTTGTTTGAAGATTTGGTTTACTATCGGAAATCGTGAAGTATAGGCAAATTTGCTCTGAATGTTTAATATTTATGAATTTTGTTGCCCTAATATTTTGCCTAAATTAAAACATGCACTGTTTTCCTTTCAATGAAGCCATAAGTTCCCTAAATTAGCAAATTACCCTGACGCTGTTTAATTTAAGATAAAAAACAACTTTCAATGTAAAGGACCGGATTTGAAGACCGCACTGAAATTATACGCAACAATTGGAACTTATCTTGTTTTAATTTTTTTTGTTTGTGGAAACACCACGTAAATTTACGTGGTGTTTCCACAAACAAAAACAATTATATTTTATCGCCATGCAAACATTCAAAGAACTTATTATCTTGTTTTATTAAGTAAAAACAGTTTATCGGAAAAAGCAGTTTGGTAAAATGAACATTTCAAAAATTTTACGAAGCGTTCACTTTAAAATAAAGCTCACAAAATGCAAAATGAAATACCCACAGTATATATTTCGGAAATTCATTGTTGTATAATAGGTATAAGTACTATTTTTGTCGTTTTTGTACAAAAAATATTTTTAAAATATACTGCGCTCATTGCTGCATGGCCAATGGCTAATACTTCAAGTTAAATCAATGTTTGGAAAATACTGATTGCAATACTGCAGCTGCATGCATGTATTTCTAGTGGTATTAGCAAGGAATATTAACCAGCTGAACATTGCTTGTTACCCTCAGCAGTGAAGATATACACGTATAACTTTCGTTTTCCAAGTGGAGTCCAATCATCTGCTGATACATTCAATGCATTGTTTTCCGAGCGCTCCAACCCAGAATCGAACCCAAAGATCCCTGGTTATACACGTACCCTCGCTCTAACCACTCAGCTGTAGTGATCGCCCGATTGAGACACTCAGAATGACGATGCATAAACCCAACGCGCGATATCCAATCTACAAATACGACGAGTTTGGTCAGCCTACAAGCATGTAAAGCTCATCGTATTTGTGGATTCGACATTCCGCGTTGGCTGTATGCATAATAATGCTAAGTGTCGCAAGCGGGCGATCCCCCTAGCCGTCAGTGGTTAGAGCGCTAATATATACGTTTGAATCCCGGCTGGGATGCTCAGAACACAACAGCAGTAACTTGACTCCATATGGAAAACCAACGATATTCGAACGTTTTTTTTTAAACTTTTTTTAAAACGTTTTGCGAAGCGTTTGTGGATGAATTTGACATTAAACAGAAGTTTATATTAGCTACGTATATATTTAATAGCATACCTAACATATATATTTTTTGGAAAATTGATAATTTTGTAAAAGTGCTATCTTTAGGGGGGTTTTCAATTTTAAAAATATTCTTAATAAAATTATCGTGTTACCATGACAACTACTTCAAATACTTTATGTTCGGAAAATATAGTGGTTTTGCCAGCAAGGCGAGGGGTTTCTGCATTGATGTATATCCAGCACAATATCTTACCAGGTATTATTGTCAGAATCCCGAGTAACTGACAAGCACGTAATCCCTGCCTCATGAGCTTCTTTAATACTGTAACAAAATAAAACGAAATGACATATTCGTCATATAGACATTTCGAATGAACTCAAATGAGGGCCAGTTGTTCAAAAGTCGGTTAGCTTAACCCTGGCTTAACAAATTCTTCGAAGTAATCTTCCCAACAGTTTGTTTGTAAATATGGAAATGTTTTTTGTAGACTAATCTTGTTTGGATCAACAGAAGTTTTATTTTCCAAAGTTTTGAAATAAATATAGATATTATGCAGAAATATACACAAACAAAAACAGCAGGTTAAAAATTTAAACCCAGGGCAGGGTTAGTGCTAATCCACCCTTGAACAACCGAGCCCTGATTGCAGATTAAAGGCTGCGCAAGTTGCGCAACTGCTATTAAATTTACACACCACATAGCGACTTTCAATCCTCTAGCACCAGGATATGATAATGACTCGTAAACAATAAGGGTTCTATCAAAACTGAGAAAAACCCACAGCAAAATAAGTTATTAAATATTTCATTACGCTTTTTAGACTGCTAATTAAATATCGCTTCCCGCCTTCGCGTCCCGCTAATACCGTCTGCTACGCAGGCTAGGAATGTAGTCAGGCAGATATAGAAGGGAAAAAAATCACCATGATCATCGAGGGGCAATTCTATTTTTCCTTCATCTTGTGTCCTAAAGGCTGGTAAGTACTTTTCTGTATGTCGGCGCCGTTAAAATATCTTGTAGGCTCTTGCCGACATGTTTTTCTTCGAATTTTGTATTAAACTATGTTATCGTTAAAAAATGTTAAATTTCAGATACATTTCTAATACAAATGACGTGCATCAATAGAAAGCTTACAAAAAAACTACATATAAGACATTTAAATGATTAGCTGGGATTTTTAAGTGGTTTTCGAGTTATTGCATGCTGTTCCAAATGTGAAAAATAAGCCAAAATCTCGCAAAAATCCTGGGTACTAGTCTGAAAACACGCTTTCAATAGCTCATATAACTCAAGACGAACTTGAAAACCCTGGTAACCGTTTAAATGTCTTACATGTAGTTTTTTGCAAGCTTTCAAATGATGTAAGTTTTTGTTGGTTGTTAAAAATGTATTTGAAATTTCACATTTTTTAACTGTAATAGAGTTTAATACAAAATTCAAAGAAAAACGTGTCGGCAGGGCCCACGAGAAATTTTAACGCCGCCGACGTACAGAAACGTACTTACTAGCCTTCAGGGCTCTGGGCTCAACATGAAGGTAAAATGGAATTGCCCCTCGCTATGGTAAGTTTTCCATAATTTTTGTTCCTCTATATTTGCCTGACTAATGGTAATGTTATTTAGATCTTGCAGATAAGCGAGAATATTGCGTCACGCTAAAAAATCCGCGATTTTAGGAGGCGAAGATAATGGAGGCCTCTATGGATAGCAGAGGAAATCAGAAAATGGTCTTAGTTTCTGAATCCGTATGGAGCAAGTAAAAAAGCGATAATATATATGGGGGCTCTGTCGGAGTAAACTTGGAAGGTTCTGCCCGTTAATTGATTCAGTGAAAGTGTTATTTAGTCTACGTTCACACGGGACTGAATGAATTCGGAACTGTACTCAATTGCAAATTCGTCCGGTTCTGCATGTTCACACGGAACCGAATTAATTACGAGACGAAAAGTATCCACACGGAACAGGATGAATTCTAGAACCCGGAAGTATTTACGTACTCGTGCGCAGATGGTCTCAGTCAGTCTCAATCCCAATCCTCTACGGTGCAAAATGATCTTGAAAAAGACCGGTTCCACTGTTCACATGGCGCCGTCTAAACACGCGTAAAATTTATGAGCCAGCTGTTTAATAGGATTGAACAATGTTGTGCTGCCCATCTGAGACCTAATTTTATTTGGTTTCGAATTCGTACGGTTAGCTGTGATGGAATTCGTCCGAATTGATCCACAGGGGGTCCAACTAAGAGCTGTTTATGAATATGAATAAAACATCATATTAATTAAACGTAATATGAATAAAACATCATAACGTAATATATTTAAATTATTGCACTTACTTGTATAATTCATAAGAGCTTGCATTTACAGTTAAATAGCTTCAAACATTGCTTCGAACGATCACGATGATTCACAACATAAACAACATAGTTTGCTATTGTTCAAATATGGCGAATAAATTGACAAAACGAAAATATTACATGGCGTTCCAACAAAAATAACAGCAACGATTGCGCGCGCGCGAGCGGAAAGGCGAGGGTAATAAATATTAAAAGGGATGAAACACCGGTAATGCGATCGTTTGATGTATTCCATAAGTAGCCTGTTCTCTCGGAAAATTCCAAAACGTCTCCTGCCAACTCCAACAACGCTTACGCGCTTAATTAATGAAAATAAACAATGTTAGCTACCGGCTAATATGAAATATTTAAATGTAGCGACCAACGTTTTTTTTACATTATTTAGTTTTATTATTATTTAGTCATTACGTCACGAGAACAGGCTACTTATGGAACACATCTCGCGAAAACGGCTAAGAATGTTCGCTGTTATAAATCACATAAATCAGATTGATCAGTGCTTTTTTGGTAATGACTAGGCTTGTTCATGTAAGAGAACATAACTGACCCCTAAAAAAAACACAGAAAGATTACACGGGCAGTCTAGAAGCATTTTAAAAAGTCACGTGATATTTGTTTCATCCCTTCTATTATATTAAATTTCTCCCCTCGCCTTTCCGCTCGCGCGCCCGCAATCCTTGCTGTTATTTTCGTTGGAACGCCATGTAAACGCCATGTAATATTTTCGTTTTGTCAATTTATTCGCCATATTTGAACAATAGCAAACTATGTTGTTTACAGTGCCGTAGCCAGCTCGATAACTGGGGGGGGGGGACAGATATTCATATATTCGTGTTCACAGACCATAAAAACAATCGATTTCAAAAGAAATTAATAACGCAGAACACGAATATATGAATATCTGCCCCCCCCCCCCCAAATATCGAGCTGGCTACGGCACTGATTGTTTATGTTGTGAATCATCGTTCGAAGCAATGTTTGAAGCTATTCACTGTAAATGCAAGCTCTTATGATTTATACAAGTAAGTGAAATAATTTAAATATTTAACAATTATTCGCCGAAGGCGAGGTGATTATCGGTGAATAAAAACCGAGACGAAGTCGAGGTTTTTATTCACGATAATCACCGAGCCTGAGGTGAATAATTGTTTTAGTATAATTTCATAGGTGATTATTTGGAAAAAATAAGAAAATGCACATTTCTTCGTCATTTAATTGACAAAAAGGCTTCGGCCGCCATTTTGAAAATCGCTTAGGTGATTATCGCGTAATAATCACCTCAACGGCAACCAATCAGCGTGGAGAATTTTCAATAATCACCTATGTAATTATACTAAATTACGTTATGATGTTTTATTCATATTACGTTTAATTAATATGACGTTTTATTCATATTCATAACACAGCTCTTAGTTGAACCCCCTGTGATTGATTCGGCCTTAGATTCAGAAATTTGCCGCACGAAAAAATCAACTACGCCAAAATTAGGTGTTGTGATGCCACTCGCAAGGCCTGAATACTCAAGTGTCATGCCAACTTACCCGGCGCTGTAAACTCTTGTCTCCAGAGTTGCTATACACTTCACTATGTCAACATGCTCACGGCCTATATAAGCTGTAAACAACATTTGAACATATTGTTCGTTTACATTACATACACCAATGCTTTCTGGAATCGTACATAGAGCGTGAGAAAGGAAAATTCTTTTTTCAATTACATTATACAGGGTGTATAAAAAAAACTGAACGCTTTCAAATTCAAATTAGCTATAACGTATTGTAGTAATTTGACAGCTCTAATTGCTTTGAATTAATGGTTGGGTAAGAACTCAAGGTCTTGTACTCATGGGAGAAAACTCTTAAAAACTTTTAAATTTTCTAATTTTTATTTCTTTGAGTTTCGTCCCATGAGTACAAGACCTTGTGTTCTTACCCAACCATTAATTCAAAGCAATTAGAGTTGTCAAATTACTACACTACGTTATAGCTAATTTGAATTTGAAAGGTTCAGGTTTTTTTATACACACTGTATAATACATATATACACTGGAAAAAAAGTTGATCGAGAAACGTGAGTACAATAATGCACCCACAGCGAATCAAACTTTTACGGTTAATTAAATTACCCGAGCAACTATAGGGTGAAGGAAAACTAGTGGAGTGAAAAGTCAATCCGTGATTGCGGGCGTGTTACTATGTTTCATGGCTGGACCTCCCACTGATATCAAAGATGAGGCGCATTCTTATGGTAAAGTTTTATCAGTAAAAGAGACACAAAAAAACTGTTTATATAGTAGTTAGATTCTGCATATACTCTTTAAATTATCTTAGAAAGATCTAGTTGATAAACTTGCGGGTTGCACCGCCATTTTGTTTATTTATGTACATAACCGGTCGGGGCGGGCAACATTTCTTCACTTGTTGCCCGACGGGATACATTGCATTTATCTCAAGCCATGTGACCACAAATCAGCCAATCTGGCATTCACTTTAGCTATACAGGGTGTATAAAAAAAAACTGAACAGATTTGAAATTGCTCTCAATTTCGCAAAACACCAATTTGTATCCGGTTTTTTATATACATAGCTTCTTTGGGTACTTATAATGTAGAATAATGAAAAAAATTTCTCGAACTCAAATTTTGTGAACCAGGGGGGTGTGTCTTTTCCAACAAACTAAAAATGGCTCGCGCACAAAATTTAAAAGCTGTAATCATATTTTGAGTTAATAGATGGAAAATTTGTCGGGTTTTTAATTACTGTACAAAATTTCAGACAATTTGGTTTAGTTTAAGCCCTTTAACTATTCATTTTGTTCTAAAAAGTCAGCCTTTCGCATGCTTAATTAATGCCTTTACCTAATTTGCATATTGCTGACATATGCAAATTAGGCAAATGCATTAATTAAGCATGCAAATAGCTGATTTTTAGGAAAAATGTAACTTTGCATGAATAGTTAAGGGGCTTAAACTAAACCAAATTGTCTGAAATTTTGTACAGTAATTAAAAACCCGACAAATTTTCCATCTGTTAACTCAAAATATGATTGCAGCTTTTAAATTTTGTGCGCGAGCCATTTTTAATTTGTTGGAAAAGACACACCCCCCTGGTTCACAAAATTTGAGTTCGAGAAATTTTTCTCATTATTCTACATTATAAGTACCCAAAGAGGCCATATATATAAAAAACCGGATACAAATAGGTGTTTTGCGAAATTGAGAGCAATTTTAAATCTGTTCAGTTTTTTTTTATACACCCTGTATAGGGTAACAAAGAAGATTATTTGGCCAACTGCTAAAAAGATGGAAGAAAAACTATTGTGCACTGACCTTTGGTATCAATGACGTGACCTAATTCCTTCCCTATAGTTAAAGATTAAAGCATTAATAAGTTTTCTTTTTAAATTATAATTAAAAGTCTTAATCGACACGTTAAAACGTGCTGTTAAAAACATGCTGTTGGTTCCGTTCATTTAATAATATATTAAAATAGGTATATAGTTATAGTGACACAGCCATGCATCTATGCTTCGAACGTTTTAAAAGGTCACTAAAAATTTATTACTTCGAGCTAAGCAAAGCGATTGTTGCGACGTTTTTTTGTGACGTGGCTCTTGAGGCTGTTGAAATTTGAGAAATTAAAAAGTTACAGTAAATAATAAAAGCAGTGCGATAGTGAAGTATAGGGCACTTGAAGTATACTTGAAATGTCCAAATACTCCAATAAAATTGCAACAATATTTAAGATAAAACGCCTATACAAAGCCTTAAACATTGTAAAGATTTTCTGTAAGCCTTTAAACAACTTCATGAACGTATATTTTTACTTTTTTGCCAATCGTTCAAACGGTTTAGTAACATTGAACCGTTTTAACGGTTCATTAAGAATTCTGAACGATCTCCCAAATCGTTTCAACGGAACGCTGAAGTGTTTAAACGACTAACGGACAACGAACGATTTTTCAGAACATTTTTAAAAATCGTTAACGTATATTTTCCCATGGAAATCATATAACCGCTTATAATGTAGTCTATGGTATTTAGTTTTCTGTTATATTTTATGTATTTTGTGTATTTGTGTATACTGAAATGTGCGAATCCTAATAAAATCCTAAATCCTTGCTCTTAGTACGTACTACAGCTGGAAAATTTGGGGCGTGTGTATTCGTCTTCGGGTAGACTTGCGACAAGTCAACTGGTCGCATTTTTTCGGATGCGCGCAATTTAAGCTCATTTTCAGATGCGCACAATTTAAGCTCATTTTCTTAAAGTGCGGGACGGAGATTTTCAAGCTCGCCCACACATTCCACTCGCTTACACATTTTACAAATTTATATAAAAAAATAAATATAAAAAATATATAAATAATAATGGTAAGTATAATAAAGCAAAACAATATCAATTTTTATAATAATTTTTATTTATATAATTAATTTATTATTTTAAAAAAGCGAGCCTCTGCCCTATTTTAATTGTTTGTTCAGCTACATGATGCAGAAACAAATATTTTTTTAGCTAGACATTAGAGGATATTACATACAGCACTGTTTATTGGGGGGAAATAGGAAAATATTTACCAGGATCTTTCATTGAAAATACTCGAACAGTTGTTCCGGCACAAGCAATCAATTGGTTCCTTCGTGAATGCCATGCCATTCCATAAATTGGTACGCCTATCTATAGAAAATCATAAAAACAAATAATTCAGAAATAGAAAACGAGTCGCGTGCGTTTATGGTGTGATAATGCACGAGGGGAATGTTGGGAGGATATGAAAGAAGCGTGTAAACGCGAGGCGTAGCCGAGTATTTTATACGCTTCTCGAGTTTTCTCCCAACATTCCCCGAGTGAATAATTTTAATATAAGACTATATATACTACCGGACACCATTTCAACCTCCAGTTAACATAGAGCAGTAATACCATTGAATCAATAAAGTTAGTATTAAATGCCTTGCCTATATAGTTTCATGTTTTTCGTTTTAGATTTCAAATTGCCAGTACGTATGGGAAAGGATCTTCTCGTCACTCTAAATCATCTACTGGAATCAATGCATGCGTAGCTCTAGTAAATTAATTGTGGAGCTATAATTTTCAATATCTTATATACCATTCAATGAATTTCCACGACTATATACGCGTATATACGACCTCGCCCATACGAATTATATGTGATACCTACATTCACTTGGTCATGAACAGCTCCTCCAGATCCCCAGGCAATTATCGAACCATCATTACCACAAGAAAACATTAGTTTCGCTTCAGACCTAAAAGAATTTGGACATTATATACCGGGTGATGCAAAAAAGTTCATCTGTTTGATTTAGTATAACTTAAAAACTAAAAGAGCTATTATACTTAAACAAGATGCATTGCATTCAGTAATGTCTATAACTTAAATTTTGATATACGCCATGTGTATTTTCATGCACTATATATTGACCGAGATAGTTGCGTTTAAACTTGAATAAACATTTTGTGTCGAGAATTAGCCAAAAATGGTCTATCAAATATTAATACAGCAATAACCTGTGTTTAGACACACTATAGTCAGAAAGTATACGTTCGTTTTCAGAGACCTGCCTGCAACGCCGCCGGTATAACCTCACGAGCATTATTTACCCTTGAATGCATATTCAAACAAATCGAAACTCTTTGGTCCTTCATTAAGCCCATTTTCCCCTAGGCCAATTTGTTCGCGCGAACAGTAAAAATGTAAGAACTGATCCAACTTTTTCATGGCGAATTTTTTCGCTGACCATCACATTGCTACGATTTGTTTTTCGCTTCGCGCGAACAAATTCGTCTAGTGCGCTTTAAACGAGGCATATTTATAAAAGACACGCGACGTTTCTTTCTTGGAACATTAGAATTTGATTCCCCGGCCAGACGCATTCCCAAAGAAGACCGTAAAACAAAATTAAAAGAGCATATGCATCATTTTCAATTTAAACTTCACTTCATCGAAACAAATACGATAAAATGGTAACGGTTATCATATTAGTTTAATAACAGGCCGTTTATTTCTCTTCAGGCTAATTCTCGACACTTCTTAAAATGTTTACTGAAGTCCAAACGCAGCTATCTCCATCAATATTGCAGAAAATGTGCCAGCCGATACATAATATGCAGGATCTTACAACTGCGCTAGCTGTGCAAGACACGCATTTTTGTTTTCGAATGTGAATGTTATAGACAAATTTGGCTATAACGTTTGTTTATATACCCTATTGTTCTACTGTATGGTTTACACAAGCATAGAATAGAAGAAAGGTAACTTTAGAATTATCCACATGAGTGAATAACTCTTGTGCACAATTCTAATGCTTATAGTTATACCTTTGTTTTATTCTATGCTTCTAAAGTATCAACTAGAACAATAGTAACTAGGCATAGTAACGATGGTAGCAACGATGTAAACAAAATTAGACAAATTTGCCAAGAAAAGGTCAATCATTAACCATATTAATACAATCCATACGATAAGATCGAACAGTACTTAACCAAATCGATCAATAATTTCGTTCTTTTAATAATCAAGATTTGTTCAGCATACTGTAGGTAATCAGAGGTAGGTAATAGTACGGTTTCGAGTGCAATTTGGATATAACAGGAACGAGTTAGTTTTTCAAAGACCTCAAAATAGCACGAGTCCAGCGGACGAGTTTATCCAAATTTCACGAGAAACCATGCATGCTATTACTTATTAATAATTTACATAAAAATGTTCTATACAATTGTAGTTTTAACTTGCGTTTAGGATAGCGAACCGTCCACTGGCAAAGTTTTCCTGGCTTTATTATATGACATTATATACAACGCTAACAGCTTGAAAATTCCACTCAACTATTTAAGTTTTGTTAGTCTTGTTTAAGGTAAAGGCTTTTCCATTTAAAAAAAAAGATAAAAGCCACATTTTCCAACCGAAGTCAACTTTCACTTTATGTAGCGCGGCGCCATGTTTGTTTTGCTTTAAACTGATTGGTTGATTTTATCATCACGTTGTTTTTCCACCAATCAGACACAGAGTAGATACATACAGAGCTGTACCTATAGCCGTCGTAAACACTGCGGAAACTTACGTTTTCATGTACTCACTTTCTTTCAGGCTACCGGGCAAAAAATGACCAACTGCGCGTGCTCGGCACGTTCCGCGAGCAGTTAAAGCGAGCCGCCATCCAATGGGATGCATGCATCTAGTAACTTGCCGAGCACGCGCACAAAAAAGTGGGTACACTAGTTATAACTCTGTATATGTATCTACTCTGTGAATCAGATCAGTTTGTTACAAATTTTTGAACTGTGATTACAGAAAATTGCACTGTGATTACAGAAAATTGCACTACTGTTTGGGATTAACTGCACTGAAATCAACCAATCACAGTCGAGTAATATTTTTATGTATATTATTATGTGTGTTATTGCAATGCAAGACAAATCCGTGGGGACATTGGTAGCCAATTGTTGCTTCGAAGTAACATATTTTGAGTAATTATGACTAGTACAATTTAATTTTTATCTGTAAATTTAATATGTTCTGTATTCTTATATTGATACAGTATGTCAATGTCGATATATATCATTAGCTATATTTTTATGGTATCTGCTTTTTTAGAACTAAACGTTGTCGAAGGAGTTTAATGTACTATTTAAAACATCGCGGCAGTGTTTTATCAGATATAAAGATACGAGGCGGAGCCGAGTATATCTTTAGGTCTGGTATAAAACACGCGATGTTTTAAATTGCTTCAAAAACGATCGATCTAGTAAGTTCATTGGCGACATAATTTTCAAAAAAATACGTTGTGTATGTCGAGAAAATGTTAAAGTTTATGTAAATCAAGGGAAATCTCTATCACATATAAAGATACGACACGCTTAGGATTTTTCTTTGTGTTTTCCTCATGAATTATTAATGAGTTTTTGAAGAATATGCAATGTATAACAAAATAGTTAGTTATTAAATTCGGTTTTTCTGATATCTGGAATTATCAAGATCACAATAACCTCATCCAATGATGTTTATCATATCGTCGCAAAAATAAAATTTTCCACTCCATGTACAGGAGAAGCAATGATCATGTGTGTCCGCTGGGATATAGACTCCCGAATTATTATAGTTCAAGGGAGTTTATATCCCACGCACAAGTGATCATTGTCTATCCGACATAGAACATGATTACATCCACGAAGAATTATTTCTTTCTTTATATTTTTGAGAAGCATTTTTTTAATTATTATATGTTTTTTATCGATTAATACTCGCAGTGAGTTTATTGAACTGATTAGCTATGCTCTATATCTGATTAAATCCCCCATTTTCTTTCAATCTTCCTTACCAGAAAAGAAATGCCGTGACAAAACCTTCGTGTTCGTGAACGGAACGCACAGATTTTCCAGCTTCACCAGTGGAATAATCCCAAGCCTTGATGACACCATCTGCAGTGTGAAGAAAAATATGTATTACGTGTATAGAATCTCCGTTTGGATTGGCTGTTGGCCTACGTGTAACTATGACGTCACGTCAACAGATAATATATATAGTTTTCTACACGTAAATATGACATGAGGTACAGTATACAGAGAATAATCGCCACGTCAGCTTTTTTACAAAAAATAGGACGAAAGGCCAGTTCAGCCTTTTGAATGATGGTTTTTAAGGCGCATTTCAGCCCTTTCAATTGAAAAAACTAACTAGGAAAATCAATTAAGCATAATTCAAGATCAGCAAACTTAATGTTTTTAACATTTTAAAACATTTTTATAGCTAAAGACATTAAGCTTGCTGATCTTGAATTATGCATGCTAAATTGATTTTCCTAGTTAGTTTTTTCAATTAAAAAGGGCTGAAATGCGCCTTAAAAACCATCATTCAAATGGCTGAACTGGCCTTTAAGGTTAATTTTATGCAATTTTCATGTTAATATTAGTTCAAATATATGTGTGTGAATGTGTGTTTGTGTCTTTAAATGTTAAAACTATTGTCATTCTCGGGTTGGCATCAATATGGGATTCTTGTCCTGGTGATTATAAAGTAGTAGAATCTTAATTGCCCTTACAAACCTTTAGTATATATGATATCCACGGTGTATACATGAACCAATGAGTTTAGTATCATCATACGTGTGACCCGAATTTAGGGATCCTGCCCATTCGCAGGCGGGATAATTGACAGCACGGGGAGAGGAAGAGAAGGACGTGAGAGAATACGAACGACAAACGTTTACACGAGAGAATTTAGTTGAAATTTTGTATTTTATTTTACTTTTTTCTTATTAAATATGCTAGAAATTACTATCGCAAGGTACTTTATATGAGTGTGTGCCATGTTACGGGTCGGTACATTTGGTGCCGTGGCCAGGATTTTTACGAAGGAAAACGAGCGAAATCAACAACGAAGTACGTATATATTGTGTGATATTTTCGCGTCAATATTTGTTCATCGTATTAAATCTCGAATTCAGTGACACCATTGTGAAGAAATATGACGAACATGATGGGAGACGAAAGCAACAAACAAGTAGAGAGTTTAGAAGACACAGGGCGTACGGAAACTTCAATACAAAAGGAAATATCGAAGCTAGAATACTATTTGGAAGGGACAGACGAACTGACTCGAGAGATTGACGTTGAGGAAATAAAAACAACGGTTAAACAAACATCCAAGATAACCAGCAAACTTTCGGAGCTTATTTCACAGCTAGAAGAATTTAAAATCGACAGTGGTATTTCACCTAGAACTGTTCGTCAGTGGGAAAAGGATATCAAGGCGAAATATGCAGAATTATTGCTGGACAAGGAGAAATTCGAGTCAAGGAAGCGACGAAACCAAGAAGAATCTGAACGACGAAAGTGGGAAGCTGAACAACAATTAGAGGAGGCAGCAATCATCGAGAGACACGAACGTGAACAAAAATTATGGGAACAAAACTGCAAGCCGAGTTGGAAATTACTGAGAAACGTATGGAGCTAGAAAGGGAAGCAAAGTCTGCTAGTGCAACACTGCCAAAAATTAAAGATAACCCCTTTCAAAGAAACTGTTGTAGATTGGATTCGTTTTAAACCAAGTTAGTACCGAGGAATATGAAACAGCATTGAGAAGCAGAATACGGACAGACCAAAAAGTGATAAATGCACATATGGAGGACATTATTGGGTAATCTGTGGTCAAGGGTTCAATTATGGGGGGAGTTGTTTCAAATGCAAAGGGAAACACCATACAAACCTGAGTGTGTGAAGGGAAGAAAGGTCCCATCATAACTGGGTATACCCCCTCAGATACCACCTATAATTCCTGTGAACATACAAGGCGTGACATTGTGGGCATATCTAGACACAAGGTCAGGGAGAAACTTTATTTCCAAAGATGCCTTAGCAAAACTGAAATTGTCTCCTGTGCACCACGAAACCCGTCATATCGTCACGGTCAGTGGGTCGAAATGACAGTCCATGCCCATTTTCAATGTTGAAATGGCCTCACTCGATGGAACCGCCAAAGAGAGAATTGCGATTACTGGGACCAAAATGTCTAACTTCACCACCATTAAGCGACCAGATATGAACGAGCTAAAGCGGAAGTTTGAGCATACTAGGACCAAACTGTTCTACATGCAGCTGGATCACAAATACTCAATACATCTTATAGTTTGGATAACACATTCTCTCGATTGAAAACGTGGAAATCTACAAAGGGAAACCAGGAGAGCCAGTGGTCGAGGGAACAACATTTGGTTGGATAATACATGGCGGGGACCTTGCTAACGATGAGTGCATGTATTGCAGAGATGTGAGCGACTACCAGATGTTGTATAGTCTTGATGTGATTGGTGTGGAAGACAGAGGAGAAGATGATCATTTGGATGTTTACACCGAATTCAACGAGACCATTGTTCGAGACAAGGAAGGACGGTACCAAGTCAACGTTCCGTGGATACCTGGTGCCCAACTTAGAGAGACAAATAAAGTACAGATCAAGAAACGCCTGCGTTCGGTCACAAAGAACTCAATCAAGACCTCGGTCTGAAAGCAGAATACCGGAATATCGTAGCCCAACAGCTTGAGAAAGGAATCATCGAGAGGGTCCCAGGGGAACCGATCAGAAGTCGTGTGTTTTATATGCCACATAAACCAATGGTGAAATCTTCTGCCACAACTACAAAGATCTGAATGGTGTTTGATGCCAGCGCGAAGCCGAACCCACTCGCTCGAAGTGTTAATGAGTGCATGTATAAGGATCCTCCACTACAGCCGTTGCTGTGGGACGGAGATGCCTTTCGATTTGTATTCGAATTGATAGACGGAACGGAAGAGCAATTCAGATTTACCAGAATACCCTTTGGCGCAGAGGCGAGTCCCTTTCTTCTCGGAGCCACCAAGGTTGCAACACCATTATGATAACCAACCACAGGAGAAGCATACTCAGTCTGATACCCTGATTCGCCACATTCACGAACAGACATTTCATTTGGGAATTGCTAGTACCATGGGTGTTATTCGAGAGGAGTGGTGAATTCCTCGGTTGAGATCATTAGCAAAGAAGACGACAAATTGTTGCCATATCTGTAAAGTTTTCTCAACAAAGCCATATCGTAAGACGGACACATCACCTCTACCACAGCTTCGCACGGAAGCGAGCAAGCCATTTCAAACCACGGGTGTTGATTTCGCCGGGCCGCTGGTTTACAAAGTCATCAAGAATAAAGAAGCCAAAGCATTTAGTATTCTTATTTTTACCTGTTCAGTCACGCGAGCTGTTCATCTGGAAGTCACGAAGTCACAAGTTAAACGCCTTCATATGTCGGAGGACGAGACCACAACGCATCATATCAGACAACGCAGCAGTCTTTAAAACTACAGCCAAATGGATAAAGAAGATCAGGAAAAGCGAAGTACTACAAGATTTCCTGGTGAAGCAAAGAATAATATGGCAGTTCAAATTAGCAAAATCCCCTTGGTGGGGAGGAATGTGCGAAAGAATCATAAAGGAAGCGAAGAAGACGCTGTATAAGACACTGGGCAAGACCTATCTTGTGTTTAAGCAACTAAGTGCAGTGGTAATGGACATCGAACGCCACCTAAACAACCGCCCACTAACCTACATCGAAAGTGACGGAGGGGAGCCTCAAGAATCAAGACCTGACGCCCAATACCATTTTATGGGGCGACGATTCACATATTTTAGAAGACCGAGAACAAGACGAAAGTGAACTTACGAAGATGCAGAGACGTCTCAACGCCGCCTGACAACACGCGTGAAACCGTTGGCACAAAGAATACATACACAGCCTTATGGAATACTGCCAAAAGTTGGGGAGATCGTATTTAGTACTCGGGGAAGAAAAGAACTGTGGACTTTGGAAGAAAGGCAAAGTATTGCGACGTATATTGGGAAAGGACGGAGTTTTGCGAGGAGTTGTACTTCGGCATAAGGACCACGAGATTGAGCGACCTATTCATTAGACAATTAGTTTGCCCTCTGGAGATACGTAGCAGCGAAGTAGAAGAGCCGAAAGCACCAACGCCAGAAGTTGAGGAGAAACGGGAGAGACCACCAAGGCGTGCGGCGGAGAAAGCAAAGGAAAGAATGCGACATTGGCTCGCGGATGAGGACTGACTGGAGAAATTAACTGTTTCATTGTACTTTTCGTCGAGTTAAAATTACGGTAAGTTACACGTAATTTTAAGGGGAGTGTGACCCGAATTTAGGGATCCTGCCTATTTGCAGGCGAGATGATTGACTGGACGGGGGGAGAGAAAAGGACGTGAGAGAATACGAACGACAAACGTTTACACAAGAGAGTTTAGTTGAAATTTTGTATTTTATTTTACTTTTTTCTTATTAAATATATTATTTTACTTTATGTGAGTGCATGTGTGCCGAGATACGGGTCAATACATGTCCAATAAAATGGATCATCTATTTTGTGGTTGACAACTAATATATACTGTGATATTTGGTTATACTGTACATAAAACAAACTATATTTAGATTATTTTAAAATTGTAGCATAATCAGTCAATCTAGGTTTATAATTATCTACAGTATCCAGCATTTTGGGGTCAAAATTAGACACGATTTAGTATATTAAGCAAGGTTCATGAGAGTCTCTTCAAGTAGACCTCAATATTGAAGTATCTCTTGGGGATATAATGTGAGTTTATTTAGTCTACGTATTTGAACAATTGTACTTAATTAATAAGTAGTATATGTATGCAGTTTATTTAAGCATGTCTTTCTGTATTTTTCTAGTTTTCACAAATATCTTAATAACTTATCTTAAATAACGATAACATGTCATTGACACTTCGCTTCGGGTCGATGTTTGCCTCTGAATGCGACAGTGATATATCATATATTAATAGTAAACTTTGTTTGGAAACTTAATTTGCCTGCTAGTATGTGCTCAGATTGGATAGTTTGTATTAATTAATTGCCCAAAGGTTTCTTCTTTTGCACACTTTTGAAACTATAATTAGGTCACTTATGAACAATCTCAGGAATCTAGCTCCTTCAGTCCTTCGCACATTTTACAAACTTTCCAGTCTGGTCATGCACAATATGTAATTTTGAAATACATATGGTCTATATGTATCAATTAAAGCGTTCAAAATGACAAAATATCATATCTGCACATACTGGATGCACATTTACATAAAATTTGTAAGCAATTAGTTTACCCATCTGTTAAACCTATAAACAACCAAATTACTGCTGTGTTACATCAACTGGTCTAACTACTCTAACATGACTTAAATGACTATGACTAATTATCCTGGGATGTAAATGAAAAATAATATAATATAAATAATATAAATAAGCGCTGAGGGGTCATCAACCCATTGAGTTCTGTACAACATCAGATCACCTTATAAAAT